ATCCATCCATCCATCCATCCATCCATCCATCCATCCATCCATCCATCATCTTTACCTACTTCTTCCTTTTCGGGTCATGGGGGTCACTGGTGTCCATATCCAGCCATCACTGTGCGAGAGGCGGGGGACACCCTGGACAGGTCTCCAGTCCATCACAGGGACACATAGAGACAAACGAGACAAACAACCATTCACTCTTTCACCTAGGAACAATTTAGAGTTACCAATCAGTCTAACATGCATGTTTTTGGTCTGTGGGAGGAAACTGGAGTACCCGGAGAAAAACCACACATGCACAGAGAGAACATGCAGACTCCACCCAGAAAGGTCCCTGGCCAGGATTTTGAACCAGCGACCTTCTTGCTGAGAGGCCACAGCTCTACCAACAGAGCCACTGTGCTGCCTGCGCTTCTTCCATACCAGAAGTTTAAATAAAATTATTGTGTTTTGATAGCACTCAGAGCAGAGTTGGGAGGATGCTCAGCTACTACCACATCTAACTTTAAGTTCAAGTTTATTGTCATTCGCATTACATGTGGTACATGAGGTGAAACAAAATGGTGTACTCAAGGTCCCTGTTACATCCAAAATTAGCAAAAATATAAAATATATAAGAAACAGTATATAAGGATCTTAGATATACACCAAACAAACGCCAAACAGTACACTAAAAGATCTAAGATATACACTAACAACTAACAGCAGCCCAAACATGGGTCAGTGGTGAGCAGATGGGTATGAATGAATACAGCAGCATAAGATCAGCAGCATGAGATCAGCAGCACAGATAAGTCACCTATCACCAATTAAAGTGGCATTACAGGGATTAACCTGGTTAGAGATTCATGAGTCTAACAGGTTCAGGGTAGAAGCTGTTCCTCAGTCTAATGGTTCTACACTCAATTCTCTGCAACCTCCTGCCTGAGGGGAGCGGGGCAAAAAGTGAGTGTGCTGGGTGAGTGGGGTCCTTCATGATGCAGGTGGTGTGCAGGATGCTCTCCACTGCACACCTGTAGGAGGAGGTGAGGACTGAGCTTCCCAGACCAGCTCGCCTCAGCCGCCTGAGGAAGTAGAGTCTCTGATGAGCTTTCTTGATCAGGCTGGTGG